TACAAACTCACCTAGATGATATCACGTGTGATGTTAAAGGACAACCGCACCACGGAACCCTTTAGAAAATAAGTACTGGCTTCGCTTATGATGAAGTTACGTCATAATAAATTGTAGGTATGCTGAGTGTACATTGTGTTGTTGTAAGGATATCCCGTATTGCCCTGATAAACATATATACCAATTATGTAGTTCACAAATCACATACGATTAATAAAATATGTCCTTGGGGTTTCGATATCATGGAAATATGAAACTGCCTGTTGTAGTTTTTCCTCTAGGATGTTCAATATTAAATTACATATGTAAGGTATAAATAAAGGTGGTGTTTTTTAGGTTACGATCGACCATTTTGTTTTGTATATTGCGGTCTGTTCCCAGGCAATCACTTCGGGAGTGTAATATAGTTGAGTAGGCGAACATTGTGTAGGTAGCAAGACCATACTCCCTAAAAGAAATAACGTTGCACTGAAAACTTAACATCTCTATGAGCTATATAATTTAAACTCCCCAGACTAAGTACAATACACAAGTTTGAAGAACGACTCATTTGCATAATCTTTATTCAGTGGTCATTTTATAACTACTCATAATAGAGTGTATACAACTCGCATTTTAACATACTGGTGGATGTAAATTAAATCGAGATGCTATAATCACCTTCCATAGTCAAATTATACTTTAATTATTTTGCTACTGTTGTAAATGAATAGATAACGATTGAAAAATGATGATGTTTTTCAAAATATTCCATTTGTTCCAGAGCTCTAAAATATTGATATTCTGGAACAAAGACTACTAATACAAAGTGCAATAACAGACATGCTAATGTAATTTACAATGATTGCTAATGAAAACGCTGTTATTGTAGTATATCGGTGTTAATTCCTTCCATGAAACAATGACATATGCATGTTTATCGGTTGTTTCTGTACGCCTAATAACACTCATTGCACATATGTATCGGTATTGCAAAATTAATGGGAACAAATATGTATAGGGCTATGAGTGTCGACAAGCCTGCCTCTAAACCATGAACACATATACTATTATAACTGGTATTACAATTTTGGAAACAATCAGAATATTTATGTTTCAGTGAGAAAAAATAATTTCATTTTGAATATAGAATTGTGATCAATCGACAGGTGATAAGAATTGCAACGTTTCGATAACGATAAATGTTGCGCCAGATAAGTGGACATGGTTGTGGACATGAAAAGTTAATTGGTTATTATATGTCTTACTTATACCACTGATTATTCGGTGGGTTTAATATCTAATCTATTAATCGCAGATTGTAAAAACAAAAGACCTACCTCTCATTCACTTTCAAAAATACTGTAAGAAAATAAATGGCGACAAACAGACAACGAAGAATAAAATGTATTCTAGCGGCACCTGTAACAAATTCAACCTGGCGTCTGTGTTGAGCCTTCCTTGGCGACCATAAACTGACCCATGCTTTAATTCGTGACGGAGTTTGTAGAAAACCCACAAAAACGTTGAAGTGGACAATGAAATCTCGTACAAATGGCCAAATTTGTACTATTACAAATTATATTATACCAGTATATTGATGGTGTTAATCCATTGATTTGATTGCTCCAAAAACAATATTTGCATATGCAATTAATGGCTGATAATGCACGGCTGAACGAAGTGGCCCTGGAACATGAATTGACTACATGTTTAATACGGAAATACATAAAACCGGTAGTATTTGATTTTTAGGGAAATATAGTGGTTGAATTTGTAAAAAAATATTGAAAAACACCGAATTAAAAACATCTGAAAAAATATATAACCATAATATTTCTTTTGTTAATGGCGGGATCCAAGTTGTGAGCGTTGGTCGTTGGGTGATTGTCGTTCGCCACACAAACCTAAACCACTGTCCCTCAACATCGTGAGGTGCCTAGACGAACACCAGAACGCGTGTTCTCCGTGTTGTGACTTTGAAATGATTGCAAACCTCCAACAATGAAAACATGATTTTTAAGTTTAACTGGTGACCAACTAGATGAGATTGAGGGATTGAAGGACACAACAAATGCAAAAAAAAAACTACGAGTCACAGGCAAAAATGCATGCCACCAATAACAACCGGTGTCCCGTAGCGGCGTTCGAATTCTAGCTGACAAAATTGCAGTGAAACTGCACCAGGGTTATTGCCATCTGTTTCAAAGAACACGGGACAACGCAGAATTCGACGACGATATATGGTATTGTGATTCTCCACTATGGGTAAATAAATCACAGGAGATGATGAAGGTAATTTCGAAAAATACAGATTTGTGCCGAGTGCACACCAACCACTGTATTAGAGCGACGCCATGCACAGTCTTTCTCTCGGCGTGGGTTGAGACAAGGCATATTATGTACGTGTCACAAAAACGATGATGCGAGAATCCGATCTTACATTATCAAACTTACCCCAGAACAACGACAAAACATGTCAGTCATACTGTCACAAAACTTTGGTTATAACAAAGTCGGTACATGATACACCGCCAGACCGCTTACCGCCGCGTTTCAAATTTCCATCGGCCAAGTACCGCTAAACGTCAAATATCCACAGTTAGTATGATGAGTCACAAAACTGGTTTATTTCACTACTGTACTTTCGATGGGCAAATTACAGTCCAAATTGTACAAAAACCGAAATTAAAACGTGGAAAATGCGTTGTTTAATGAACTGTACTCGACCCTGTATTTCAAATGGCGTTGACACAGTCAATAAAAGGTCATCTTTTGTTATGCTGTGTTTGCGCTGCTCTAGTCACTATACGTTTCAGAATAAAAATTAGTTTGTATTCAATTTGAACTGTGTTGTGTATGTAATGTTTATATGAATTCAGTATGCAAATACATACTATTCTTCTAAATATTCATGTTCAAGGGCCATAATCATGATCTTATAGTAGATGCAAGTAAATTCATGTTTTTACTAGATTTATCGAATTGTCAATATACTGGAATTGTCAATATACTTGATATTGTACAATTAACTCCATATATGCACTCGCCTTCAGCTCGTGCATATATGTCGTGAATTGTGCAATATCTCGTAGTTATTGCTTAAGGTAGAGATGCAGGTTTGGGGACTATATTTCTAATTGGCTCTAATAACTGTAATTACACGAGTAAAATATACTTTTTACCCATCAAGTTATATATCATTTGAAAGAGTTTTATTTAAACTTTCGAGTTTTATGATTTACAATGATGTACTATGATACCATATTAAGTGATGTTGATTTTGGTTTAAAATCATGCATTTTAGGTGAAAGTGCACTTAAAACTATTTAACTTTGAATGCCTACCCTGATTTTGATTTAAAAACACTTATTTAAAACTTCTGTTTACTAGGCACATAATGGCTTATTTATTAGTGTTTCCTTTGAAAAGTTTTTACACAGTGCTCTTTGAAACATTCACATTTTATAAATCCTTCACAGTTAACAGAGCCGCTAATTGGCCGCTCTATTGTTTCTGTTCCAGTGAAGACAGTGAAACCATACAAAACCATTTACTTAGGATAGACCTGAATAATGACCCCTGAAAATTCCATTGAAAACAAATGAACTGTCTAGAAGTTAAATATTTTTAAAGTTGAAAATTTGAGTAAAAAATGAAACCGAGATAATCGCCATTTTGTAAAAAAAAGT